CGGTTGTTTTCGTTCTGTTCTAGTGGATTCGCCGGCACCGTCCGGCCGAGATGTAGGCCCGAGCTTGCTCGGTAACCGAACTCGTTAAAATCTCCGGTCTCTTTCATTCGCGCACGTACGAGAGTCGGAGTGGCCGTGAGATCTCGATACCGACTTCACAAAGTGGTATCAGAGCCCGGTTCCGATCCAGGGAGGTAAGTTCGCCGGAAAAGGTGAGGTAATTTAGGGTTTCGGTTTCGGTTTCTCCGAGTCGAGTCTGTGTGAGCGTCTTGATCTGTTTACTGAGTGTTTTCAGTCCATCGGAGGAGCTTATCGGCGACGATGAGAAACAGATCTGGGAAGTCTCGGTGTCGCCGGTGACGAGATTCGTCAAGGTGAAGTTTCTGGGAGTCGACGCGGTGAAGACTCGTCTCAGAACCGGTAACCAGGTGAGTCTTTCGACTCGGTTCTTTATTTTCCGCATTTTTCTCCGATTTGAGTCCGAGTTTCAAAGGAAACTCGGTGAAACTCGGCGGAGAAAGTCCGATTCCGGCGAAGCTCGGTCCGAACTCGTCCGAGTTAGGGCTGAGTGGAGGGATCGGGTGAGTCAACGTCCGAGTCAACTCGGCAGACTCGGCGGCTAGGGTTTTCCGAAATTAGGGTTTCGGATTAAACCGGTTCAGACCGGTTTAATCGAACTAATTCTCGGTTTAACCCGGTTTGGGTCAATCGAACCTGGTTCGATTCGATCCAAGTCCGGTTATCGGCGGTCAGATCGGGTTTGACCCGGTTCCGTCGGTTCAGACCGGATTCCGGCCGGTTCAGTCCGGCTCAGACCCGGTTCCGGCCGGTTCAGACCGGTTCACTCCGGTTCGGTCAATTCGTTGACCAATTTGGTCAACAGTTGACCGGTTTAGGTCAAATCGGACCGGTTCAGGTCCGGTTTGGGGTCAATTGGACCGGTTTAGACCGGTTCAGGTCAATCTAGGTCCGGTTTAGGACAATTGAGTCCGGTTTAGGTCAATTCAGGTCCGGTTTAGGTCAATTGAGTCCGGTTTAGAGCAATTCAGACTAGTTTAGGGTGATTTAGGTCTTGGTTAAGGTCTGATTTGTCT